GTGATCCACGCTTCATTGTTTTCGTATAACACTCAGTGCTCCATGCAGTACGTGCCCTCCTTAATACCCATCACCGGGCTAACCCATCCCCCCCCAAAAAAAAACCCCTCAGTTTGTTCCTCAGAGCCCATAGTCTCTCATGGTTCATCTCTCCCTCTGATTTCCCCCCTTCATTTTTCCCTTCCTTCTCCTAATGTCCTCCATACTATTCCTTATGTTCCACAAATAAGTGAAACCATATGATAATTGACTTTCTCTGCTTGACTTATTTCACTTAGCATAATCTCATCCAGTCCCATCCATGTTGATGTAAAAGTTGGGTATTCATCTTTTCTGATGGCTGAGTAATAGTCCATTGTATATATGGACCACATCTTCTTTATCCATTCATATGCTGAAGGGCATCTTGGCTCTTTCTACAGTTTGGCTATTGCAGACATTGTTGCTATGAACTTTGGGCCCCCGACATGGGAGCAGCCATCTACATAAGCCAGCTGTTAACCAAAATAAAGAGTCATATTGATAACAATACGTTAATTGTAGGAGACCTCAATACTCCACTCTCAGCAATAGATCATCTAAGCAGAAAATCAACAAAGAAACAAGAGCTTTGAATGACACACTGGACCAGATGGACCTCATAGATATATACAGAACATTCCACCCTAAAACAACAGAGTACTCATTCTTCTTGAGCGCACATGGAACTTTCTCCAGAATAGACCACATACTGGGTCACAAATCAGGTCTCAACCGATACCAAAAGATTGAGATTATTCCCTGCATATTCTCAGACCATAAAGCTTTAAAACTGGAACTCAATCACAAGAAAAAATTTGGAAGAAATTCAAACATGTGGAAGCTGTGACACTAGCATGACAACTGCTCTGGAAGAGGGGTTTACTAAGATAACAGGGTCCTTCAGTGGCACAGAAACAAAAATGTTTGTGTTTTGCAGAGTGGACTTAAACATTCTTGAGCAGGGAGCCCGATGCGGGACTCGATCCCGGGACTCAAGGATCATGACCTGAGCTGAAGGCAGTCGCTTAACCGACTGAGCCACCCAGGCGCCCAAAAATGACATTTTAATCCACTTAATGGTTTTTATTTTTTTCCAGTTTAAATTATACTTTGACACTTTTACATTATTTTTACAACCACTGTTTTCTGTTTATTTGCATTTTCCCATTATGCCTTTCTTCAACTTGTTATTTTTAAGTTAACTGGGTCATTTTGTGTTAGGTGTTTATCTTCTAGTGTACAATTAGATTTTGTTTATTTAGACAGTCTGAGACCTTTTCTCTATTTTAACCCATTTATATTTAATGTCACAACAAATATTTTTTCTTTTGTCATTTTTATTACACAGTTTGAATGCTTTCATGTTTTTAAATATATTTTCTGTGTTCTATTTTATTTTTTTACCCCATGGCCTTTGCTTTTGTTTTCCTTTCAGTTATTGAAAATGTAATTAGATACTTAATTCTTTATAGTAAGGTCTTCTGTTGACTTTCTTCTGTGCAGGCTGTGGCATTTATCCTTTATTTAGCCTTTTATTTCTGCAGACTTTCCCACACTCCCTACACATTTTTGTTTCTGTGCCACTGAAGGACCCTGTTATCTTAGTAAACCCCTCTTCCAGAGCAGTTGTCATGCTAGTGTCAGATGCTCTCTGTTTGGTGTGACTGTCATCCCCAAGTCATTTTACATAATCCCTAGGGAGCCATGTGTGTTGTTAATGGTTGATCTTACCACCCAAGGAAGCTGCCTCTTGGCAAGTATCGCCACCCTCTCCACCAGTTCTCTGCTCTCTCATTATAGCTGCTGGAGTTCTGGGCTCCACTGAGACCACTGGCCTCTGAATCCGTTAACTGGGAATGACCACATGGGCCACAAAAAGTTTCCATGTGAATGTTTTCCTGTTGGTCTCATCACCCATCTTACATTCTATCCACAGGCTTGAAGTGAGGAGTGAAAGACAGGAGGGAGAAGGGTCCATTGTATAGGCTATTGAGGTAGTAGAGATGAAGAACAATGAAGATTTGAACCAGAGCCATTGGACTGGAATCAAATTGGCTTTGACTTACAAAATGGTTGCTTCATATGGTTCAACTTAATAGCAGAAATGGAAAGACATGGCCAGATTTAGAAATATTAAGTCAGAATCAAAAAGAAAATGAGAAGCAAGGCAGAAGGGGAAGCCCCAGCAGATGCCCAAATCCCAGTCGTCAGTGACTGGGTGGGTCATAGGGCAACCCACTGAGGACCATATTTCAGGAAGGATAATGGGGCTGTGGGGGAGACAATTTGATAGGGAAGCTGTTCAGATTTGTTGCATACAGACTGTGTTTGAGACATCTGTATATAGTATCTGCAGAAAAATGCAGATCTCTTAGTTGGGTGAGACTGCTGTTCAGTGAAAAGTATGGAGTGGGGCTGGACTTGGGATTGTCGGTGAATTGGCAGCCATTGCAGAGTGTGCTCAGTAAAAACATGAGTAGAGGAACCTGACATTTCAGGGATAGATGTAGGAGGAGAAGTGCCTACAAAGAAACTTATGGTAGTATAGATAGTCCCAGATCTGTGAGGAAAAACCATGAGAGTGAAGTGTCACTTGAGCCAAAACAAGAGAGATCCAGAAAGGGAGAAGCTACAAACATTGATAATTGTAGAAAAATGGTCAAGTATTAATAATAATTATTGGCAAACATTGAGTACCAACCATGTGCCATACATTGTTCTAAATAGTGTATTAACTCCTTTAATATGAAAACTTATCTAGTAAAGTGGACACTATAATTACAGATGAGGAAACTGAGGCACAGAGCAGTAAGATAACTTGCCCAAAGTCACACACTAGTGAGTGGTGTAGCCAAGACTGGAACCCAGGCATTCTGATCCAGAGCCCAAGCACTACACTATCTTCCTTCTTAAGATAAGGATTGAAAATTGTCCATTAGATTTAGCAACTCTGATGTTACTGGTATTTGCCATGAGAGCTGTTCTGGGGAAAGTGTTGGGGACAAAGTCAAGATCATAGTGGGGAGTGGAGTTTTGCAGTGGGAAGTAAGGGAGTGTTGAGAGTGAGTGTAGATAAAACTGTTGAGAATCCCACATGTGATTGAAACACAGCTAGACTGTGCTGGAGCAGAACCTGTTGGCCAAGGGTAGCTTTTAAAGAATAAGAGAAGCCCCAGTATTTACGTGTGCCAAAATCAGGGATAAAAGAGTTCAGAGATACAGGCTAAAGATAACCAAGAAGGACCAAGAAGCTGGAACAGGCAGTAGAGGTGAGGAGGGGTCAAGAGCACCAGCATGCCTTGAGGAGAGGAGGCAGTGGTTGGTTGTGGTAATCCGAGGTGTAATCTAACCTCTGATCGATGGGCAAGAAGTTAGAAATGAGCCCCTCTCCTGTCCCCTTACCTGTTGAAGATGTGCTGTGGGTGTGTGCTGGGGTTGGGTGGGTGATGTTGAAGGGGGACGTTTGTGTGGGGCACAGCAGTGGAGAAGGCAAGTTTGCAATAGACTTGTCAAATTTGGAATGAGGGTGTGAAAGAATTAGGGCTTTGAGTGAGATCAGTGTGGATGGTTAGCTAGTGCGGTGGGGCGGCCCTGGGCTTGCTGAGAATACAGGAGGTCCGGGCCATCATACAGGCTCTAGGAAGGGTGAGGTCCAGGGTACAATGTGAGCCGCAGGGGCAGGTTTAAAAGGAGTGAGGGGCAGGAGGCTGTGTCAGAATACCGGTGGATGGAATTTCCGGTTTCTGGAGTGGACAAGGATGTGGATGTGGCCGAAGCTGGTTGGGAGATAAAGACCATGGAATTAGGGAGGTCAAGGGCATCGTTCATGGTGTTCATATAGGCAGTCACATCTCCTAGGCGAAGTTAGACAGTGGGTGGCAAGGAAAGCTGTTAACTGAGTTTTTTTTTTTTTTTTTTTAAGATTTTATTTATTTATTTGAGACAGAGAGAATGAGAGAGACAGAGAGCACATGAGGGGGGGAGGGTCAGAGGGAGAAGCAGGCTCCCTGCCAAGCAGGGAGCCCGATGCGGGACTCGATCCTGGGACTCCAGGATCATGACCTGAGCTGAAGGCAGTCGCTTAACCAACTGAGCCACCCAGGCACCCTGTTAACTGAGTTTTAAAAGCTCTACTGAAATACATGGTTTGGGTGAGAGAGTCAGAATGGAGAATTCAAAGAACTTGTTGCCTTTGGATTCCTGGATACCAGCATTTGTGCATGGGGCTTATCTTCAAGAGGTGTTATTAAGAAATTCAAGATGGGAGAGAGAGACAAACCAAGAAACAGACTCTTAACTATGGAGAACAAACTGATGGGGGGAGGAGGGAATGGGACCAGAGAGGAGAGGGGGGCTGGGGGGGATTGGACAAATAAGGATGGGGGTCGAGGAGTGCACATGCTGTGTTGAGCACTGGGTGTGGTATGGAAGTGTTGAATCACTGTGTTGTACACCCGAAACTAATATAACACTGAATGTTAACTGTATTGGAATTAAAATTAAAAAAAAAATTCAGATGGCATATATTCCTGGGGGATGTAGAATCAAATCAGGGTAAACCCTCCTTGGCTTATGGTAGCTTCCAAGGCAAGCTCCTCTGTCACACTTCATAAGAAAGTTGGGGTATTAGGAAGTAATTCTCCTCTGTGCTTCCTTGAAACAACAATGAAAAAGGTGCAGATTGGGGTTTCAGGCCATGCTTGGGTTGTTCTTCTGCATTCAAGCGTTATTTCTGAAATCCATTAAAAATGTTCCATGTGGCTGACTCTTCTTTTGCTGGTCATTAGAATGTGGCCTTTTTTTTTAAATCTTGTTTTGAAAATCCGAGTCCATTGCCAGGGTAGTGTACAAGGCTAATAGAAGGCCTCTTTGGGAGGTTCTGGTGGGAAGCTGAAACATAGAGGGTTTGGGGGCTGGGCAGCTTCCTGTGATGCCTACAACTACTTCTGTGAAATTGACTCCCACCCTGTGTGTTGCAGGTGATATTTGAATCCGTCTCTTTGAAGGGTCATCCTGGCTACATCGCTGTGGACGAGGTCCGGGTCCTTGCTCATCCATGCAGTAAGTCTGCTCCCTCCTCCTCACACAGCCCCACTCCCTGCCAGACTGGGGAGCTTGGAGCCTGCAGTCCCCCCCCATTCATTCAGCTCACAACCATCTCTGGCTCGCTCTCTCTTTTTTAATCCTTCAGAAATGCTTACATACTCAGTGCAATCAGTCCTGAATAAATTCGTAATTTTGCTGGCCTGTTCAACAGGCAGCACCTACAGGAATTTGCAGAGTGGCAAAACATCTTTGTTTGAATCTGTCTCCGTCGTTAAGGGAGTCTAAAGTCCTGATTGTTTATTAGTGGGATTCTGACCACCGAAGTGGAAGAATTAGAAGGCTTTGGATAGAATCTTGTGCAATTGTCTTAAAAAAAGACCACCACCAAAACACTGAGCAAATTAGTACACTGTTCACTCACAGGGAAAAGTACCCCAAAGCTATTAATTCTTTAAAAGTACTTTTAAATACACTCATCAGCTCTGTGTAGGCATTGGGAGAGTTTTCTCACAGTGGTTAGTGCTCACGGTCCAGTGTCAAGAGTCCTTGAAGGCATACTGCTCCTCTGTGCCCATCCAGTCTCCCCCTCGAAGTTCGCTCTCTTTGCTGTGTTTAGTCTCAGATATCTTAATGTGTTTGTGCAAGGACCTGTGGTTCCCAGTTTCACGAAATCCCAGAGGGGAGTTGGATGGCATCCTATCTAGTGACATTTGGTTGGGAGGGCTGTAGTCAAAGGAATATGCATGGGGGTGATGGCCGCCCCCAGGAGGGCTAGCTGGGATACCAGCCCCATTAGTTTGTTAGCATTCTGCATATTGGAGATTCCCATTAATTTCTTGGCAGCCAGCTGGTTCCAGGTAACTCCTGGAGGGCTCGCTCTACTCCCTCCTCGTAGCCATGAGTTACGCTATTGGTTGTGGTGCAGTTTGCTATTTCCTCAAGAAGTGTCATGCCCCTTGTTGTTAGAGGCCTTTCAGTCCTTTCATTTTGGGGCTCTTCTCATGTCCGCCCCATCCATGTTGCTTTAATTGAAATGACACTTTCCACTTCTGCTGCAATGAATTTGTTAGAACTTGAACATCACTTCCTTCCCCAGTACTAGAATGCCAATTGTTTGACTCATTGCTTAGAGCACCTCTCTGGAGGAATTTGGGATAGGTTCCAAGGGGTTTTGGCTAGGCGGTGTTTGGGATCATTGTGTTTTGTGTCTCTGCAAGGGAGCCCTTCTTCCCCGAAACCAGCCAGCTTCTCAGGAATGCTGAGATCATACGAGATTCTTCATTACTCTGGCCTGAGCTTCCTGCCCTCTGGGTTACTTGCTGGGTGTTTGGGATTTCCTTAGGTGGGTCTGTCCATGCAGTCATGCCTGCTGAACCAGACCTCATGTGAAGAGGGTCCCAGAAATCCCCCCAGCCATGCAGTGGGAATTTTCACCTCTGTTATAAGGCCCAACCTGATTCCTGTTCCTTATTCCAACCTCAACTCTGCCTTAACTCCAAGTGCTGTTGCCTTAACTCCATGCACCATTTTTATAGTAGATAGTTAATCCAACTCACCCCGATTAAGCTTTCCCCTCCCTGGCCTTCTGGGAATCAGGATTAGCTGCCCGTTAAGGAATGACCTTTGATCTCACCCTGGACAACTGCTGCAGGACGTGTTTGCCCTCCCTGTGGTCCACCTAACCCCACACACTCAGCTCTGCCCAGCTCCCAGTTTTGAGGTGGTCTCTGTGAGGCAGGGTTCAGTTTCCCCAAGCCCTGCACACATCCCATCCTCGCTAGGGACGCTCACCTCTGCTGTGTCCAGCTGCATCCCTGCTTCTTACCCTATACTTGGTTTTTCTAGTAGGTGACTTTTGGCCCTTCCCAGGAGAATCTGGCCTGGCTCTCTTGTCGGGGATCCCAGATCTCTCTACTCAGAGTGGGGAATTTTCACCTCTGTCGTGAGGCCCAACCTGATTCCTGTCCCTTGTTTCAATCTCAACTCTGCCTTAACTTCAAGCACTGGTTTGCTGTTAAAGCCAAATGCTTCCTTCTCTCTGAGACGTCTGTATGGGAAAGGGTTCTCTGGAGGGTGTTTAGATGCTTTTACACCCTAAAGCCTCATGCCCCCCCTTGGAGTACTGCCCCCCCTCCCCAGCCTCACTGGGGCTGCTCCTGAATTTAGGATTCTCCCTGACAGCCTTGTATTCCTCCTGCTGAGGAGTGTGGATTGCATGGTTATGGAATTGCTGAGAGCCAGTTAGCCAGCAAATGGGCCACAGGATATAACTCAGAAGGACGTGACTCTGGCTGTGTTCCTGGGTAATGGGAGTACAATGCAGAGTTTAGCCTCGATGCTTAGGCAGCTTGGGCTTAAACTTCCCAGAAATCAAAAAGTGAGGACTCTGTGATAGTGGCTGGAATTGGAAAAATTCCACTGAACAGTATGTACAAATCCTGGCGATGCGTATAGTCTGCAGGGGTCTGTACACACAGCTCCTGAGTTGCATAGAGTTGAGCGGTGCCTCGCAAAGGCCCCTTCTCCAGTTGGGTGCTCAGTCCACAGCCACTCCAGCTCTTCACTCCTACTTTCTTCAACAGGTAAATTATTGCACATGAGCTATGTGTCAGGAACTTGCGCTGGACATGGGGGGCACTTCAGTCATCACGTTGGTTAGATCCTTGTCTCCATGGTGTTAGCCGAGTGGCAGAGAGAGGAAAGCCACTCAATAAGTAATAGTAAGTAGTAACAAATGTAACTTCAGATAGTGATAGCATGGTGGAGAGAATAAATGTGAGTTGCTGTGGTTGGGGAGGGCTCCTTAGGTAGAGAGGGCAGGGGATGAGTCTGGGCACCTGTGGTCTGAGCTGACACCTGAGTCCCTTGTGCGGTGATCTAGGGAGGGGGGGCAGGCCAGGCAGAGGAAACAGCAGGTGCAGAGGCCCTGCAGTGGGAATTCACAGGTGTTGCCAGAGTAGCTAGAGTGTAGGGAGCACAGGGGAAAAGGGTCTGAGTGAAGGTTGGGGAGGGAGGCTGAGGCCAGGCCATGGAGGGGCTGAGTGTCTCGATGAGGTTAGGCTTTAATCAAAACACAAGGAGGCGCCCCTGGAAGGATTTGTCCCAGGGATTGATTTGATCTCATTTAAGTGTTTAGAAGATCACTTTGGCTGCTCTGCAGAGAATGAGCTGAAAGAGAATAGAGAAGCCAGGAAGACCGATCAGGAAGGAAGTTCTGGAGTCATGGAAGAGGTAGGTGGTGGTGGCCTGGACCAGGCTGGTGGAGAGATGTCTGTTCACCGTTTGGCATTTGTTTACTGAGCATGTACTCCAGGACAGGCACTATTCTGGGTTTATGCACATTCATTCTCTGTCCTTGGGGGCTTCCATTGAGATGGAAGACACTGGAAATGAAATAGTCAAGTAATTAATTATATGATCTCTAACAGGGTAAATTAGTTGGCTAAGACTGCCATACAGAATGTTACATGCTGGGCAGGCTTAAACGGCAGAAATGTATTTGCCCACAGTTCTGTAGGTGGAATTCCAGGGTGAAGAGAGCAGGGTTGGTTTTTCCTGAGGCTTCTGTCCTTTGCAGCTGGCTGCCTTCTTGCTCTGTCCTCACATGGGCTTTGCTCTGTGTAGTGTTCCTGCTACGTTTCTGTGTGTCCAAACCTTCTCAGGACACCAGATAGATTGGATTAAGGTCCACCATAATAAAAGCCCTATCTCCAAATACCGGCACACTCTGAGGTGTGGAGCAGTAGGGCTTCAATATCTGAATCTTTTTTTTGGGGGGGGGGGACACACAATGTAGCCCGTAACAGATGGTCAGCAGTGCTATGAAGAAACAAAGCACAGAGATGGAGAGAGGTGGACAGGTGAGAGAGAGATTTAGGAGGTAGAGTCTGCTGGTCCTATTTGATGGCTTGGTTTGGGAGGCAGAGGCATCAGAAATGGTGCTCTCCTGGGTTTGTGGCTTGGGCACCTGGCTGGTGCAGGCTGGGGTGGTGTACGTTTCTGGAGCTGAGTGTTGCCTTCCAGCGTGCCGACTGTGTGTGCATCCTGGGGGGCTCGGGGGGCCGTGAGTCATGCGTGCTGCTGGTGGCTCCTTTGCAGTGATGGCGCCTTTTGCCCCCAAAGCCTTCGTGTGAGTGCATTTATGGTTTCACTCACGGGTGCTAAAAACTTAACTATATTGAGAAACACGCGTTCTCCTCAGGCTTTGTAATTCTCCACTTCCGTCCTCCAAGACATTTTTTCTCTTAATATCAGGTCAGCACTTATCAATAAGCTATTCTGCTAAATATTCCAAAAGTTCCAGGGCCGGTGGGGTGGGGGCCGGTGAGTGCCTGATTTGCAACTGTATTCTCGATCGATTTGAGCTGAAGTTACCACTTCCCGTGATTGCCGTGCAGCTTCCCAAACACCAACCGACAGACAGGCGTAAGACTCAAAGGAAGTGATTTTCTCCTACAAACTGAAGCCTCTCGTCTATATTTTATAGCCCATTTAACATTTTTGTGGGATTCTAAAAGTGTTTTAGCCATTGTCACCCCTCTGCTGTCGTTCTCGGTGTCAGCTGTGAGCAGGGACACCACAGCTGCAACCTTACATGAGAAACGTCGGCACGATTTTCTACCCGGTCTCCAAGTTTCTAGCTCCCAAGTTGACTTTTAGAATTTTTTAAACTCCCCCCCCCCCCCCCCATCACAACCTTGCAGGGCCATGTCACCGAGCCCACGGAGCGTCTGCAACACGTTTCTAATGTATGTACTGCGCTTTCTCCTCAGTCGCATGGCTTCCTACTGAGCGCTGTCAGGTTTAAAGAGCGAGATAAAGGGCATAATACTGTGTCTCCAGATGCTGCTCTGACATCGGCAGGAGTTTAAATGTCACCAACATCAAGGCGTTTTGCCCCAAATGCACAGCCAGTTTGCTGTTAACCCCCCTTCAGTGGGACCCCACTTTGGGGGTGCTGGGTCTTAGTGGGGAGTGAGGGTGGGATGTTTAAAACCACATGCTGGAGACTGGGCTGGGCCCCAAGGTCAACCGTGTTTGGCCCCAGGTTGGCAAGCGGAAGCTGGCGGGATAAATTCTTTCCCTGAGCTATAGATGCTGGAGGAAAATCACGGTGGAGAGAGTGTAGGGCTCAGAAGTAGACCCGAGGGAGAGAGGGAGAGAGAGAGAGTGTGTGTGTGTGTGTGTGTGTTTTGGGGGGAGAGGGAGGGTCAGAAAGGCCAGGAGCTCAGAGAAGTGGCCTGAACAGGTCGCCAACATAAGGAGGCTCCCCAGTTCTGGGTAAGTTCTTGTGTCGGGAACGTTGATCTAGGGCTAGCAGTCATGTGATCCACAGCATGCTGCCTGGAGGGTTGGGGGCATCCCTGGATTTATGGAGCCAGACAAGGCAGGACCTGCCAGTGGGAATTGTTCTAGATGACTTACATAGGAGCTAACAGAGACTGCACTTGCGAAGAGCTTGCCTGCAAATGTGTTTTGTTAAGTCTGCATGGCGTTTTAATGGAATTTAGTCAAGATTTTAGAATGAGAGATTTCACATAAAATCGGATTTCTTACTTGGGTTGAAAAATTGGACGATTGGCTGCCCTGAGCAAAGTACTGTGGAGTGGCCTTCTCCGCTGGATTTGAGTAACCCCCTTTCAAGGGGTCATGGGGTCTTTATCCGTTTCTCCTCAGGCCCTACACTCCTTAGTCCCTCCTCGGTGCTGAGGCAGGTGTCAGATACCAGTTGTCACTGTGTGTGCAGCGTTACTGTTCTCACAGACAGAGAAATCTTTATTTTACCTTTTTTTTTTTTTTTTTTTTAAGATTTTACTTATTTGGGAAAGAGAGAACGAGTGAAGGGGAGGGGCAGAGGGAGAGGGAGAAGCAGGCTCCCCGCGGAGCAGGGAGCCCGATGCAGGACTCGATCCCAGGATCCTGGGGTCATGACCTGAGCTGAAGGCAGACGCTCAACTGACTGAGCCACCCAGATGCCCCCAAATCTTTATTTTACACAAATCTCTATCAAAAGTGGGAAAGTGATTATGGAACAAGGAGGTGGTGTTTTGTTTTTGTTTTGTTTTCCACTGAACCACTTTATTCATTGATATAACTGGCTTCTGTGGGTGCATGGGTTCAACCTCACTGCTATAAACCATCCATGTTTCACCAGAATATTAACCCTAGGGGCCATTAAGCCTCTAAATTCTCTACCCCTTAACCTAGAAGGGAGGGAGGCAGAGGGCCTGAAGATGAAAGAATCCAGACAAAAGTTCTGCTGCTGAGAAGCCGGGAATCAGAAGCAAGCAGGGAACATTGATCCAGAGATCCATTTCCCATTGTACAAGTTCCAGAGGTTAAACCATTTGCCCAGTGTCCCCAAGGGTAAGGACAGACAGACGTCCCTTTGTGAAACCCAGCACAAAGCCTCCCAAGATTGGAGCTGAGACTGTCATCCCTCCCTGCATGGAGTGGCTGTTCCCTCCCTTTTAAACCTGGGGTGTAAAGGGGCTTACAAGGTTTACTTTTAGTCCTAGTTGAAGAATTGACTTGAACTGATAGTTGCAAAAATAACTTTATAAAATTATACAGGAGGGGCGCCTGGGTGGCTCAGTTGTTAAGCTTCTGCCTTCGGCTCAGGTCATGATCCCAGAATCCTGGGATCGAGCGCCGCATCGGGCTCCCCGCTCTGTGGGAAGCTTGCTTCTCCCTCTCCCACTCCCTCTGCTTGCATTCTCTCTCTTGCTGTGTCTCTCTCTGTCAAATAAATAAATAAAATCTTAAAAAAAAAATTATACAGGAAAGCCAAAAGGAAACAATTTCAGACAATCAAAGCAGCATGGTATTTGTCAGGTTGACCAGATGCTGGAATCTTCAGTTTGGAGAAGCCTGCAAGGAGAGGTCTCCCCTGTGCCTTTGCTGCTTGACACGACTTTAGCAGTGGGGTCCTGAAGGTAGCGTGAGGGGGTCCCTGAGCTGTTGTCCTTTTTTAAGAGCCTGAGAAGAAGGTGTGTTTTCACACAGCAGGTCTGCCTCATCATGCCAAAGGTTTGGCTTTGGCTGAACTCTCTATGTCATGACACACATTGGTAGAGCAGGTAGTTCAAAGTGGGAAGGCCATGGGGACAAATGGCTGGGAACAGGATGACTCATGATTAAATACTTGGGAGCAATGAGAGGAGCCTTGAGTCAGCACAGCCTGGCCTGCAAGCCCTTTCTCTCAACCCTGGCGTCCAGGTGACACCACTGACCTCCCATTACCCAGGAAGCCAGAGAATGTATGATTTAAATGTTGACATTTGGGCTAAGATTTGGACTGAATTCTGTTTGTCTCTTACTAATGCCATGTAGCTTTGAGCAAATTAAACTCGTTGAGCCTTGGTTTCTGCCTCTCTGAAAGGGGAATAGTAATATTGTCTGCTTTACAGGAATGTTACAAAGTTAAATGAGATAAAGCATGTAAAGCATTTATCAGAGTGCCTGTCATTGCCAGAGCTTTAGATAAGTGACATTATTGCTTTTAGTCGTCTCTCTGGGTATCGGACTCTCTCTGAAAAGATGGCCAGAGGCCCTTGTTGAACCTTTTTGGTTGTCTTAACAGCTGTTCATTTGGGCTCATCGTGGTGTAGTGGCTGTCCAGTTCATCTTTGATTTGGTTGATGTGCTAGGGGATCCTTGGCACTTTTGTGCCTCAGTGAAGAAATTCATATTTCTAGACATTGGTTAGCAACCCACGCATCTTGGGTGAGCTCAAATAGGTGAGACCCTGACTCCACAAACAAGGAAAGAGATGAACCCATTACCCCACATGAAACAGTTTCATTCTGGGATGATTACTCACAGACCCTGTGAGTTTCATTTATTTGAAAGTCCCTTTTCCTGTTATGCCAAGTCCCCAGAGCAAATGTCGCACATCCCTCCCATCCTTGAGAGAGACTGTAGCTTAGAGTTCAGAGTGTAGACTGAGTGTTGCTTGAGTTCTCTGTGCCTCAGTTCACTCACTGTAAGACAGAGATGATCCTGCCACCAGCCGCGTTGGGTTCAGTGAGTTACCGTGTGTGGACCCCGCACAGCGAGTCCTGTGTGAATGACAGCTCCTGGTTTTCTCCTCCACCTCTTCTCCCTCCTTTGCTCTACCTTCCTTATCATCTTCCTCATCGGCGTCCTCACCATGGCCAGGCGTGTGGGTCTCAGGCTCAGAGGTGCTTTGCTGCAGCTTTCCTCTTTCTGCTCTCAGGCTGGAGGGAGGACTTCTCTCTGATGAATCCTCCCCATGTCCCCACCTTCAATTTTTCCTTCCGAACATGCCAGTATTGCCCAGAGGCTAATAAGTGGGATTCTGAGGCTCCAAGAGACCTGGATTCATGTCTCGGCTCCCTCATTTTCTGGCTCTCTGACTGTGCTGAACTATGTAAGTCCTCAGAGCCTTCATTTTCTGATTGTGAAATGGAGATGTTACCCATCGCCTGGATATTGGCGGGGTTTAAGTGAGGCGATCATGTGAAGCTCTTGGGACAAGCAGTGCCTGGCTCACAGTAAGGGAGCAAGCAACAGTAGCTGTGCTGCGCTGGGCCACTTCCCAGGTGGTGATGCCCCACTGCCCAGCGCTCGTCCTGAGCCGCCATCCACCCATGGGGAAGTGCTGCCGGCTGTTGAATTCAGCCCTCACGTGCAGTTTGGTTTCTCTCCTAGGAAAAGCACCTCACTTTCTGCGACTCCAAAATGTTGAGGTGAACGTGGGGCAGAACGCCACGTTTCAGTGCATCGCTGGTGGGAAGTGGTCTCAGCATGACAAACTTTGGCTCCAGGTAAGGATGGCAGTGGCCCCCTGCTCATGCCTGCCCATTCCTCGGTAAGGGCAGAAGGCACGTGCTGGGATGAAGGGTGCGGTGTGGGTAAGGGGAGGGGATATTTTGATGTGCCTCTGCTCCTTGGATGATACTCTGCCTCCATGATCTTGTGAGATCTTCACTCTAACTTGGTTCTGTAGGCATCAGGATACCCATTTTACAGATGTAGAAACTAAGGCCACAAACCTAGAAGTGCCAAACTAGAATTTGTAATTATGCCCTTTCCACGCTGCCTTCCAACAAACTTTGTCCTTTAAGGCCAGACCCCCAGGGTGAAGGCAAAACTTAATACTTTAGATTCTGGGTATGTGGAATCATGAAATCTTCCCTGGAGGGACCTTAACTACCCAGTGGTCCACCGGATTCCTGTCTGATGGGTAATGCTCCTCCACAGTATTCTGGTAAAGTCTGATAAAATCACCCTTTGCCAGAATATTTCACTGCATCAGCAAAGCCATGTGTTCTTTGGATGAAAGAGTCTCTCAAGAAAGTCAGGAGGATGTTCTGAGTTTGAATCTGTTCCGCTCTTAGGTCTGCTCTTTGGCCTTACTTTCAAAGCAAGATAAGAGAGGATCTCTTTCAGTGGAGGTAGGGGAAAGGATGGGACACAGAATTAGACACAAATTGTTGCAGCATCAGAGATATTCCCCGGGATGCTAATGTAGAAATACCAGTGAGTAGCCACATGGGCTATTGAACGTATTTTGGTTTTGTTTTTTATTTTACACAAATTCATTGAGGTTTCATTGAGATATAGTACTTAAAATGGGTAATTTAATACATTTTCACGTGGGTATATTTGTGAAACTGTGATCACAGTCAAGATACTAGACATATCCATCATCCTCAGAAGTTTCCTTATTCCCATTTGAAATCCCTCCTTTCTGCCCTCCTTACTCTCATCTGTCTCCAGGTGATCACTGATCCGTGTTCTGTCACTGAACAGTTGACCCTTGATCTTGCACAGGTTTGAACTGGGTGGGTGCACTTATACATAGATTTTTTTTTTCCCAATAAATACAGTACAGTACTGTAAATGTATTTTCACTTCCTTATGATTTTAACATTTTCTTTTCTCTAACTTCACTAAGAATACAGTATATAATACATATAACGTACAAAGCATATATTGACTATGTTATCGGTAAACCTTCTGGTCAACATAGGCTATTACTCATTTAGTTTGTGGGGGGAGACAGAAGTCATACACATATTTTTGACTATAGTGGGGCTTGCTGTTTTTAACCCCCATGTTGTTGAAGGGTCAACTGTGTATTCATTTGCATGTTCTAGAATTTTATATGAAGTCACACTGTATGTACGCTTTTTTTCACTCGACAGAATTACTTTGAGATTCCTCTATGATGTGTATATATGAACTTTAAAATTTTTTTTGTTGAGTAATCCTCCATTGTATGAAGATACCATGATTCCTTTATACATTCATCTGTGGATGGACATGTGGGTTGTTCATTTACCGGTTATTTAAAAACAAGTTGCTATGAACATTCATGGACTTGAATGGAAGTATGGGCAAATGCTTTTGTTTCTCTTGGACAGATGCCTAGAAGTGGAATGGCTGGGTCATCTAGTAGATGTGTAACTTTTAAAGAACTGCTGAGCTGTTTTCCTGTATGGTTGTACCATTTTGCATTCCCATCAGCAGTGGATGGGAGCTGTCTTTGCTCATCAACATCCCTGCCAACGCTTGGTATGGTCATTCTTTTTAGTTTGAGCCATTTGAACAGGTGTGTAGTGGTACCTCCTCGTGATTCTTGTTTCCCTTTCCCTCAGGACCAGTGATGTTGAACTTCTCTCCATGTGCTCATTTGCTGGCATTCGTGTGTCATCTTTGGTGCTGTGTCTGTTTCAGTTTTTTTTTTTTTTTTTTTTTGGATCCTTTATTATTGGTTTGTTTCCTTATTATTGCATTTTGAAGTTCTCTTTATGTTCTGGATACAAATCCTTCGTCAGATACATGCTTTGCAAATATTTTCTCTCTTCATCTGTGGTTTTTCTTTTCATTCTCTTAATTGTAGCATTGGAAGAGCAATTTTTAAATTTGGATGAAATCAAATTTATCATTTTTTCTTTTTTGGATCTTGTCCTGGCATCATTTGTAAGAAATCTTTGCCTAACCGAAGGAGACAATGATTTTTTTCTTCTGTTTCCTTCTGGAGATTTTATAATTTAGCTTTTACATTTAGGTCTGTGATCCATTTTGAGTTAATTTTGCATATGGTGTGAGGTATGCATCGAAGTTCTTTTTTCTTTTGGTGTGCATTTAGGTATCTCCATTGTTCCAACATCATTAGTTGAAAAAGAGCCGCCTTTCTCTGCTGTGCTGCTTTTGTCCACAGAGATAGGGGGCTATCCCTGGGCCCTTGCTCCCGTTCCGTTGATCTCTTCGTCTATCTTTATGCCACTATCACACTAAGTTGGTTACTGTAAGCTTTATAATTAAGTTTTGAAATCTGGTATGTTAGTCTTCCAGTTGTTGTTCATTTTCACAGTGATTATGGCTGTTCTATGTCTTTTGCACTTCCATATGACTTTTAGAATCACTTTGTCAACTTCTACATGAAAAGCCTGTTGGGATTTTGATGGGGATTGATTGCATTGAATCTGTAAATCACTTTTGCAGAGAACTGACTATCTTAGCAATAATGACTTTTGGGAGTCTGAACATGGTATAGTTCTTCATTTATTTAAGGTCTATGGTGATTTCACTCAGCACTCACTGTAATTTTCAGTGCATAGGTCTGACACATTTTTTTGGTCAGACTTATCCTTGGTATCTGATATTTTTGGTATAAAAAGATCTCCATTTCTGACTTTTTACTGCTGCTGTATAGAAATACAATTGACTTCCATATACTGATCTTGTATCCTACGACCCTGTTAAGGTTACAATGGCTATTTACATTTAAATTAATTAAAATAAAATTCCGAACTTAGACGCCCGTCACACTAGTCGCGTTGCAGCTGCACAGTAGCCACGTGCATCTAGTGGCTACCATGTTGGACAAGCGCACACAGGACATTTGCAACATTGCAGAAAGTCTTAGTGGAGAGCATAGTCTGAGCTTCAGCAAAACATGAATATTGGTTGGAAGACGCTAACTCCAGTTACCTCTACCTTCATTTATTGAAAGATCTCCACCATCTCTTCTGGCTGATCTAGTTTGGATGTTGGTCCCCAGTCCATGCCCAGCCATCTCTCTGCACATGGATGGAAGTTCATAGTATTGCTTCTCTTCTTGCATTTGAACCCATTTCCTGCAGTTGGAAAATCCCTGGGTGAAAAAGCATCTCTCGGGGCTGACCATTCTTCCTTGCTCCTTAGCAGTGCAGTAGAATGAAAAGAGTAGTAGTGCCCGACCCTCTTGCTTCCCCGGTCTGCCTGCAGACCACAAGACTCACGGTAAACTTCCATGTGTCACTCAAGTATTTAGTGTTAATTCATCTTTCAGTTGTAATTTGTATTCATGTGCATCGGGCTCTCTAGAAGCTTTGTCATTTCGACGGCATTGCCTCTGTTGGGTCAGGAGACCGAGAAAGAACAATCACAATATTTTCAACACCTTTACTTAGCTTTTCCAATTATTTTATGGTGATTGTTGCTGCATTTCTGAGTTGCATGTCCTAAACCTTGGCTTTATCAGCAGGAGGATTTAGAAGGTAATAGAAGTATTGGAGAAAACAGAAACATATGGTGTGGAGCTCTTCCACATCTTATTTATTTACCTCCTTTTCAGTGTAAACCAAATCTTATTTTGCAGAACGTTTTTCAGGTGGCTTACAATGGGACATAAAGCATGACAAGATAGCATAAATTAAAAGTGAGGCAGTGGGAGATAGGAAAGGAACACACTGCTGCAGAGCTGGTCATAATGTTAAAACTGCATTTCTCCACATCTGTGGCTTCCTGGGTTGAGGGGGGTGGGTCACGGGCGGAGCCCACCGCCCCGCAGCTGCTAACCGCATAAAGGAAACTTGTCAGATACACAGTTCAGAGTGTCCACAAGATAAACACAAACCAATTGCTCTGGAAACTTCTAACTTGTTCACACAGAAGCCAGACAGGAATTGTTCCCAGGAGTCCTCATAAAGAAAACAGCGTCTGATGTAAGGCACGGCGTTCTGTCTATTGAGGGCACAAAATTGAGCTTCACGGGCTCGTTTCCTGTATTGGTGCTCTGTGCAAAGGCAGTTTGGGGAGGTGGTCGAAGAGGGAGGGGATGGAGTTGGGCAGTGAGATGGGACAAAAGTCCCCAACTCTCTGCTAATATGTCTCTATCCTGGGATACTTTAGATATACCTGGTGAGTGAATAGTTTCAATAGCTACTCCTTTAAGGAAACCACCAGAAATATTGTCTCCTTCATCTATACTTCAGGAAATACTGGGAGGTAGATGGTTTACACTGTGCTGTCTGGTAAATGCTGCTTGGCTAGTTAAGTCCAGGCTTACATTCAGCAGTGTGGTTGGAAGTGAGTTAACATCTTTGTAGAAAATATGAGGCACCTGTTATGACAGCTGCCTGCCGATCAGGAGGCCGCTGCACCCTGATCTGACATGGGCTGAGGCAGTAGTGAATTTCTCATGAGATGCTGCTTTGGATCTGTTCCAGCACCTGGAGGAACAGCATACAGATTGGCCACAGTTCTGTTCCACAGATCAGGGCTTTTGTGACTCAGTCTGAAAATTTCCAAAGTAAGCGAAACAGGTATACTGTGGCCAAGAGTCTACCTTTCAACAATGCTATTTCCTTCTGTAGCTTCCAAGAGACACTGAGGCATCACTGTTGGTCACCAAAGATGGAAACGTTTTTTTATCCACCAGTTTTAAGTCAGGGAAATAAAGCCAGTGACTCTGTTTCCAGAATAATATGTCATTGCCCCTTCTCTCCAGCAATGAGATAAATCCCTATCATCTGTGTTGGAGAGAATGATTGCC